GCTCTCTGCTATATGTCCACCCAATCCGCCATCTTGTTTGTTCTCCCCCCTGTTTTGTTTTTAATCTCACCGAGGTTCCCATGGTGTTTTTCCGTGGTGTGTCTCTGCTCCCCTGCTTGGTCTTGTCGTTTGGTATCGTCCAAATTGTTGGCTCCAGGCCACTGAGCTCGGCAGATTCCAAAGTATATGATTTCTTACATCCACTCCAAATTCCACTAACTATAAATATTCCTAGATATGTGGTTCAGAGTTGTAGAGGTCTGCCCTGCAGCCACTTTGTCTGGTATTTTGTGGTATTGCTGATGGAGAACTTCACTGCACCCTATCTGCCATCAAGCTCGGCGTCAACACTTCAGCTTTTATAAAGCCAAGTTTAAAAAATACTGGACTATTAGATATAGGGCAGAATTTTCAGAAATATAAAATGAATGGTTTCTACTAACCTATGGAAACTCAATTCCACAAACATCATTTTCTCTGACAGAACCTAAACCTACTACAATGGGGGCGCCAAAACATGCATGGCAAAATTCTCTTTTAATCCCCTTATTCCATGAACTTTTGTGCTAATCGCAGAGGCAGTGCTGGCGAGGGTTGTATGCTGTGCCGCCAGTTCTGATTCATAGCATCCCTGTATAGGGTTTTTGAGTCTGTAAATCTTTATGGTAGCGTAGTGGTTACGAATTGGGCTGTGAACCACAAGGTCAGCAGTTCGAAACTGCTAGCTGTTTAATGGGAGAACGATGAGGCTTTCTGCTCCTGTAAAGATTTACAGCCTCGGAAACTCTGTACAGGGTCGCTATGAGTCAGAACCAACTCTATGGTACTTATCAACAACAGCAAATTTTTATGGGAGCAGAATGCGTCATCTTTTTTTTCCTTGAGCGAGGGGTAGATATGAATTACTAACTTTGCAGTTAGCAACCCAGTTTGTAGCCCACTATGCTATATACCAAGGCTCCTTCGGTAGTACAGAAGTAGTCAGTATAATCATTACTACTGTTATTTCTCCCTTTACAGGCACAGAATTCCCAAAGAACAGTGGTGGTTGAAGCTGCGGCCTGTAATGAAAATTTTGGCTAAGTACAAAGCAAGCTATGATGTTTCTGAGTCTGGCCAGCTTGAGCATGTGCACCACCGTCCTCACGAGGAATCTGCAGGGATTTGAGCACCTCCGTGGCTCTTCTGACACCTGAGTTATACTGTATGTCTAGTGATGCTTTTGAACTTAATGTTCACTGACCTTCTTTTTGTAACATTTAAGTTATTTATCAGCACTTTATGCAAGTACTGTTGACAAAGTATTATTGACATTAATACCTAAGTAGAAACACCAGTCACCAATATTGTTGTCCATAGTCCAACTGTCAAAAAATAAAATACTGCATATATATATTCACTTCAACCTAGGTAGTCCATTGGACTTTGTACTCTGTGTCGTGCTTTAAAATGTGTGTATCTAATGGAATGAAAACATTTGGATAAAGCTCTAAGCACAGCAAACCAAAAATACACTGAATTGGCATTTCACTCCCACTTCATTGTTGTGAATTAAGTGCCAGTGAGTCAATTCTGACTCGAGTCATAGCGATTCTGTACAGCGTTTCCAACAGCTCTCACTTCCATTGTTGTTCTATCAGTTCTGACTCATAGCAACCCTATACAGGAATTCTAACCAGCAGGTAGGTTTGAACCACCAACCTTGTGGTTAGTAGTCCTGTGCTGATCCTACAGCGCCACACCACGACTCCAATTCCATTAGAACCCTTATCCATTGCTGGTGGGATTACAAAATGGTATAACTATTGTGAAAAACGGTGGTGGTGCCTTTAAAACTAAAAACAGAACTACCACATGACCCAGCAATTCCACTCTTACAGTTATACCCCAAAGACACAAAAGCAGCACGACGCACAACAGTCAAAAGCTGGAAACAATCTAAATGCCTAGCAACAGATTGAATGGATATATTCAATGGAATACTATTCAGCCAGTGAGAAAAATGAAGTCTCCATCCATGGATGGAGCTCGAGGACATTACATGAAATAAGCCAGTCACAAAACGATTTCATATAGGATCAGTCACAACAGCAATTCCAAAAATGAGGCTGGGATTCCTGTTAACGAGGAACAACTCAGAAATGGAGGGTGAGAATGGTTGCACACTTGTATCTAAATTGTAAACTATTGCGTTAGCGTTGGCTTTGCTACGTACGTTCTCGACAACAAAATAAATAAAACTTCCCTACAGAGCACATTTCTTCTCAGACACACATGGGGTCGCCATGAGTAGGAGAAGATGGCAACTGGTTTCCAATGCTATACTAAGAATTAATATATTAAAAAGATACTAGTTCAGAAAAAATATCCCCCTCCCCCCAGGTCCTGCTATTTAATTGAAGTAGGCTATTTAATTCTAGCCTCACTTTCTCCTTTTAAAGTTATACAAGTACCTTAAAAATAATGAACTTTCACATACCTTTTATTTTAATCCTAGTGACACCAGGGAAATATTGCAAAGAATTTCTGATACTGAGGTTCTCCTCCAGACCCATTAATTCACACTCTTTGGGACTGGTACCTGGATTAAATGCTCCGTGATCCTAACACGCTGCCAGACCCAGTGACTGTAAGCTCTGTTTTAGATTTTGGCTACATCAAGATAGAAGCGATAAAGATTACAAGGAGGCTTCAAAAAGTTCACAGAAAAATTGAATTAAATGATAATGGAAAATTGCCAGTAACTATTTGAAACCCTTTTGCATACTGTAGCCTCCGGGTATAGAAATTGTAGATAGGGAAAGAAGTTGTTTGACAGTCATATGTCATTGAGGACTGTTAAGTGCCATCGAGTGCGTTCCCTGACTCATAGTGACCCTGTACAGAGTTTCCTAGGAATGGCTGGTGAGTTTGAACTGCTGACATTGAAGTTAGCAGTCTAGAGGGGGAAAAAAGGAGGGTAGGGGATACATAAAAAAGGTTTTTTTTGGTGGTTAAGTGCTGTGAAATCTGTTCCAACTTATAGTGACCCTATATAGGGTTTCTTAGGAGTGGATCATGGATTTAAATCACTAACTTTGAGGCTCAAACTGACCTTGTGGTCTTACGCTTATCCTACAGCACCACACCAAAATGACAGAAGGAAAGCTAGTATTAAGAGGTTCCTGTCTAAAAAATTTAAAGGTATATATTAGAAACATCCCTTAAGTAATGAAAAAAAAATAGGCAAAGTTTATGTTAATATTTATTAATCCAAAAGCACACTTAGTTTGCTAAAGATGGTAATATAAACAGGAGTTCCTCAGATTTCTATCAGACTGCCCTGTTTAACTCACAGGCATTAACAAAAACTTTTCCAGTGTTGCTTGGTGTGATCATACATGGTTACAAATTAAGGGAGGCACTGAAATAAATTTGTTCACTTTATTCATCTTTTAATAAAGGCCCTAAATATGTTATTTTAGTAAAATGTCATAGTAAATAATGAGTAAAACACAGGTAGGTCAGGTTGCTTTCAATTTGAGAAATTTTGAAATACTATATTCTAGGGTTAATATGGTAAAGTAAGCATTTATATCATAAAATAATTTGACTCTTTGGCATTTAACACATGGTTATTTCAATTAAATCATTTTTTCATGGTCACTATATTTTCTTTAAGTGAGAGAGTTTTGGTCTGACTTGTCAGTCGAAACATTTCACAATGTTTTAACAATGACATGCGATCAAGATTTTGATCAAGACCAGTAACACTTCTTTCCTTTCAGTAACTGTCAGAATTATTTTTTTGCTCACAGGGTGAGTTATCTTACTATCCATGAGGGATCCTTAGCAATTTTTGCATTCTCTGGTCCAAGTATAGCCAACCCATGTGTGCGTTTTCCAATGCCAAGGTACCTGAAAGAAGGAACAAATGAATAACTAGTACTACTTCCTATAGTAAGAATTTTTGTTACTAACTGAACACATGAGCAGGTATACTCACTTATTGCTCACATCGATAAGTTTGTCGTGACTGACAGCAAAGAGTTGCTCCCTATGTGCCTGCCTTATCTCGTCAGAGAGTCCATACAAGAAATGATCCATACCTGAAAGGGAAATTAAGGTACAAATGGAGGAGTTGGCTAGAGCAGCAGAAAACTCTTGTGTGGGCATCTTGATTGGGATTCTGACATTGTTACACAGGTCACAAAAATAAAAGGGAACTATTTTACACTGGTGACAGTTCAAATTAAGCTTGACCTTCTCTTATTCCATCTTTATCCCATCTCAGAACCTGATACCTTATTACTGATCCCCCACTTTTTAAAAACTTTTTATTATGTGACTTGACTGAAGGTTTACGGACAAGATGGTACATTTTACATTCAACAAATCATACACTTTGTTTCATCTCAATGACTGCAATCTTACCTATCATGCAACCAGAGTTAGCCACTTCTTCCCTGGGGTTTCCATTTCCAGTTCATTCTCCCTTCTCAACTTTGTCCTTAGGTCAATGCTGCCTTTTTTGATTTTTGACAATTGACCATCCCATGGTAAGCATACCTTACTAGTGTTGTTGTCCCCCCTGTATACCTGTCTACTGCTTGAATGGAAATTGGGCCATAAGCGTGAATTCTTTTCCAGACCTAAAGGGTGGTGGAGAACCATAGTCTAGGGTTCCTTCAGTCTCTTTCTGACCAGTAAGCCTGGTTGGTTGGTTGGATTTTTAAAAAAAAACAAACAATGAGTTTTCTGACCCCAATTTTGGCAGGTAGGAAAAAGAATAAGTAAGGATCACTTAAGGTTTATATACGCAGAATAAGTAAGGATCACTTAAGGTTTATATACGCAAAGTGACTTGTAATGTGACCATTTATGTGCCATGTCAAAATGTTCTCATTCAACTTTATCCAACAAATTATGTTACCTTGTAATCATTTAAGCTCTCTGCAATTTAGATCACTTACGCTCAAAAATAAGTTTGATTCTTTCAAAATGACCAACACCAGCATATCCATGCCTGGATAGATGTCTGTCTAAACTAAAAGCTATGTCAAGGCACTCCTTGTCAAAGTCAGTGTGACAGTAAGTTGTCAAATATGAAAATCATACTGGAAAAGGAAAGGGTGATGAGAACACCCAAGCACTTTATTTATCTAAAGTGATAGAGGAGTTGCTGCATTTGGGCCACATATGCACAAGGAGGCAAGTCTTGCTTTGCTTAAGAAAAATAACTAAGAAACCAGAGGGGTGAAATCCTGTCTGTCAAGTTTCTCATTATTTACTCAAAATACCTTTGTCTGAAGGTGCTACAGGAGAATCCACAGCAGAGAACACGGAAAGTTTTGCTTCATCGATGTCTTGCTGAGTGAATTTTCCAGATTTAGCCCAGTCAATAGCTTTTCCAAAAGACTGGAGAGTTTCTATTGAGTTTGGGTCCCTAGAAAATTTAAAAAAAAAAAAAAAAAAAAAAAAATCCCTACATTTCACAACTGTGAAAAGAAAGCATCATCATATGTTGGCAAATCGTTGGTATGATTAGGGCTATATTTTAATGCTTCACAATCCAAAGAGTGCACTGATAAATATCAATCCCTGTCAAGAGGAACTTAAATCTGACCACATAAACCATTCAATCTATAGATATGGTCTCTCTGCCTTCATCATCAGATTATGTTAGTACATCTCTGTTTTATGATTTCAGTGGAGCAGGAAGTCAGTTAGAGAAAGGGAAGCCCGGAGTCCAATAAAACTAAAGGAAGGCTCCTGGGCCACCCTAAGTAAGAATCAACTTAAGGATACACAATTTGTTGGTGTTTAGTGTTGTCAAGTTGACTCCAACTCAGGTATAATCCTATATCAGGTTTCCTAGGAGTAACTGGTGGTTTTAAACAGTCAACCTTGTGTTTAGACTCAAAGTGACTCTGTACAGGGTTTCTGAGGCTGGAAATCTTTACAGGAGCAGAAAGCCTCATCTTTCTCCTATGGAACAGCTGGTAGGTTCAAACTCCTGAACTTGAGGTTCGCAGCCTAATTCAGAACCACTACGCTACCAGAGCTCCTTCAGTGCTTACCCTACAGCTGCATACCAGGACTCCAACAGCATGTAAAAAAGTTGAGAAAAGGCTAAATGAAATCCAGGTGTTCACTTCCACAAGATATATTCAGAATAATCTAGAAATTACGTATAGCTGGGCCAATTTTAGAAATACTTCTTCACCTTGTCGACACGGAAAGAGAGCTTCCATTGTCCATGATTCCTATGAACATAGTCAAAATATGTCTTATTGTAGAGGATGCTACGGGGCCCTGGTGTGCAGCTGGAGGCTAAGTACTGGACTAGAAACCTCAAGGTTGGCAGTTCAAACCCAATAGCTGCTATGAGCCAGAACCAACTTGACAGTACTTAACAATATGGTAGAGACTGACAAGGGGTCATGCTTTGTTTTTATATCCCCTCTAAAAACAAAGTTCCTAACACAAATAGATTCACTAGACAGGTATTAGTCAAGAGCAAAGGTACAATTCCACTAGAATGTCATAAGTGAAATTCATCCCTTTCTATAGCTATAGAGTGTGAAAATACATTTCTCATGAAATAGGACCACAGAAAATTAATACTCTACATAAAAAGCTAATAATCTCTGGCTATGAAAACTTAAGAGAACAACCCCATAAATGTCTTTACAATGACAGAAGCTCTCAGAATGTCTTCTAACTTACATATGCTAAAAATCCAAATCATAGAAATGTTGTTTAGTTATATCAAGTAGGTTTCGACTCACAGCTACCCTGTATAGGATTTCTGAGGTTCGGCTGGTAGGTTTGAACTGCTGGCCTCTTGAGTACTTAATCCTACAGAACAGCAGGACTCCAATTCATAAAAAATATAGGACCTAGATGATGTAAAATGTTTCATATTATGTACCACACTCCCAAAACCTAATAGTAAGGATACTCCTAAGCTGTGGTTAAGTGTTTTAGAGTTGGGAGAAAAAAAATGAATGGAAACAATTATTCTTTTTCTACTTTTCTAATTTATCCAGTACATCCATGATAATGACACTTACACTTAGTAGAACAAATGACTAGAAGTGAAATTCTGTGGGTGTGTATACAGAAAACCTCACCTGTAAGAGTAAAAGTTGAATAGTCCATTATAGCCGAGTTTGGCACCTCCGCCATACGCACCGCCTTTCTCTCGAATTTCTGTATGTAAGAATTTAGTACTCATCAAACGTGCAAGGATCTTAAGACTGAAATTGAGGATAACAAAAGGCAAGTTAAAAAATATTACTGATAGGGAAGTATTAGACATACAAAGTAATCCAAAGAAAAGTAGAAAATATAATTAAAATTTTTAAAGTTCTGAAGTCCTTGTCTTATTTTCATGAACTAAAACTAACAACAAAAAATAAGAGAAAAATTTCAAATCATTCCTTTGGGTTCCAGGAATCCAAAGATAGGAGTTGGTGTTGGAGGAAAAGACATGGAGAGGGTATTTTTTCTTTAAATCTTCCAATCTGTATATTTAGCTTACTTTGTTCTATATGTAACTATGTGCATTCCTTATATATGCAGAAACACATCCAACCATTGCTGGATAAGCAGCAATGATTGGGTGACGATGACCAGGTAGGTAGGACACAAGTGTGCTATGGAGATGGTAAAACACTCAGGCCTCAAGTCACCACTACCTGTGATGGACCTTGTTTTAACATAGGTGAAGAACATGAAATAGGCAAGATGAGAAATGAAATCATTGAGAGAAAATTCTCTTACTATATATTCATTCACTTTCCAGCTATCAAAACTTTTCTGAGACTCTTATCTTACATCTGCCTTTCATCTCTATTTTCATCCCTTTTTCTCTGTTGATTAATGACTTTTTAAAACGTTGGTGGTTTAAACCCACCCCTAGATCCACGGGAGAAAGATACAGATTCAGTCCTGGAAACCCTACTGTTGTTAGGTGCCCTCGAACAAGCTCTGATTCACAGTGACCCTAGGCATAACAGGACAAAGCACGGCCTGGTCATGTGCCAGCCTCACAATTGTTAAATTTGAGCCCATTGCTGCCGCCAGGGTGTCAATCCATCTCATGGGGGGGTCTTCATCTTTTTCACCAACTCTTTACCTCACCAAACATGACATCCATCTCCAGAGACGGCTCCCCCTAATAACATATCCAAAGTATCAGAGACCAAGTCTCACCATCCTGGCTTGTAAGAAGCATTCTGGCTGTACTTCTTCCAAGAGAGAGCTGTTTGTTCTTCTGGCACTCCATGGTATTTTAACTATTCTTCTACACCCTCATAATTAAAATGCATCGAGCGAGCCTTCTACTGCCTTCCTTATTCACTGTCCAACTTTCAAATGCAAATGAGGTAACTGAAGATACCATGGCTTGGGTCAAGAGCACCTTAGTTTTCAAACTGATACCTTTGCTCTTAACACTTTAAAAAGGTTTTTTGCTGTATGAATTCTTGACTGCTGTTTCCATGAATGTTGAGTGGATCCAAACAAAATGAAGTTTTTGACTATTTCCATGTTTTCTCCATTTATCATGATACTATTTATTGGTCCAGTTGTGAGGATTTTTGTTTCCTTGATACTGAGGTACAACCCATACTAAAGCCTGGAGTCATCTTTGATCTTTATCAATAGGTATTTTAAATCCTCTGCTTCCAGCAAGCAAGGTTGGATCACCTACAGGGTTGCTATGAGTCAGAGTCCACTAGATGGCAGTGGGCTTTACTGTCCTTTAAGTGGGATTACTGGGAAGCTCATATATAAGCATGTGGGCCCAATTTGCCATCTGCCATGTTTACCAGAAATCTACAGTCGAATTTTAAGCAATTTTTACTCATAAGTGAGAGGAATTGTGGGGCTGTGATTAATGTCTCTTCTAGCCATAGTCTGTGTAAACTTACACCAAACACAAACAGATGTGTCTGCTTAAGAGAAGGTGAGGGAAGATGCCGATGGGTTATCATTCAGTTGTGGCTGGTAACTAATTGTGAGTGCACAAACTTGGAATATTAAAGTGGGCTTAAAAGAAGCAATTTCAGAACTAGGAGGATGGGTTGGGAGGGTGGCTCTCACTACCATCAAAGGAGAAGCACATGTCCTTTGGCGCCTGACATCTCTGTGATTTGAACTCTTCAACTTGAGGACAGAAAGCTGTGCCACCTCAGAGGAGTAGCAGCAGCACTAGAACCAAGAGACAGGGTAGTGGGTATCCTGACCCATGGATCAAGTAAAGGCTAGTTTGCAGACGGGGTGTCTTCAGGCACTTAATAGGGTTTGCTGACTCATGAAGCCAGAGCTGAGTACTTTCAGGCTGAGGCTTACAGCAGATTAGGGTATCATTTAGGCATTTATTAGTAGCCCTGAAAAAACTCTGTAGTCTTGTCAAGCAGGACAGAGGTCAGGCCAAGGAGCTGAGGGCCAAGAGAAAAGGCTGTCCTGACGGGAAGAACTGTGTTCTGAACATTTTCTGATTCTGTTTGCTTCCCTAATAAACCCCATAATTGGGAGTATTGTCTCTGACTTCTGTGAGGCCCATGCAATGAATGACCAAACCTAGCGGAGAAGAAAAGAAGGTTGTGGGAAGGACAGTTGAAGTCACTTTTTGCAGGAGTAAATGAGGCATTGTACAAGGATTTCCTGTTTAGGTACATGGGGATCTGTTCTGCTTATAGGACAGCTCAGGGGACATAAATTGTTTGGGAAAATAGGTATAATGTTAAGCAGTTTGTTCATAAAGATTTACTTTGAAAGAATAGTCAGGAATCTGTATTTCAATGTTTCTATATGGAATTACCAAACCTAGCTGAGAAGTAAAGAAAGCTGTGGGAAGGATTGTTGATGTCACTTTTTGTAGGACATCAAAATTATAACAGCAATGTCACAATGGGACAGGAATTCAAAATTTAAAATAAATACCAAAAGAAAAAATAAAAACCAAAAAACCCTGTTAAGGAAACTTGAATCATTATGTTCTAATGATTCTGATAAGCTTTATACAGATCCTAGAATGCAGTATGATCCTTACAATCACTATTTATACCTTTCTGTTTCATACCTGGCATGATCTGGGTGTGTATAGGGAACGGTTCTAACACATTCACCAACGTAATTCACTGGGAAAGGAAGCAGAAAATGTGTCTTCATCTGACAAGGTTTGAAAGTAGGATCCTGAGGAATAAAGAAGCCTTATTCAAATCAGGCTGCATTACAACAACATAGTCCACAGATGTTACAATTTCTAGATAATATCTGAATAGGAGAAGGCACTGATAATTATCTTATTCTGTAGATTTTTTCACTTAATAACTAACATGAAATGTATCAACTCTAAAAATGAAGGTGTTCCTACAAATATTTACAACCTTGGAAACCCAATACAGGATAGCTGTGAGTAGGAACCAATTCAAAGATGCTTAACAGCAACAATACAGTGCCATACAATGTAATTATTATTCTATTAGAAACATTCCATTGTATATCATTTATACCAGAAGTTATCTGTGTGAGCTCACTTTTCATTTTCCCCATGAAAATATTACACTGCTATACTATATGCCACACAAACTTAAGGCTGGAACTACCAGAGAGCTGAGTAAGGAGAAGGAGATCACCATGCTAATGTGAAGGTGCATTAACATTAACTCAAAAGGGGAAGTAACATCATAATAAAGGCAAACTGCAAAGTAATGAGAACGTGTGGAGCAATGAATGTTTTTTAGAACACCAGAAGGATGTAAGAGTGAATGAACTCAGAAAGGCATGAAAAGAAGAGTAATTCTAAGGAATGATTTACAGGGAAAACAATCACAATCCAAGCCACTGATACACAGCTGTGAGTACACAAGCTAGCTTGATTCTGAAGTTACTGATATAAGGACTTACTGTGATAAGTTTTCTTATCATTTCAGCGCCATTAACATGTGTACTTCCACTAGATCCGGTATGTCCAGCACTGGTATGTGCAGGTTTCTAAAAAAAAAAAAAAAAAATTCCAAGATAAATGAGACAAATCCAAAATTCACTTGAAATATTTAACCAGGTACATTTGATAAAATTCACAAAACTAATAAACAAGTGTTTTTGCTTCCAGAAAAAACAGGGTCGTTAGAGGAATAGGCATTTTTGTCAGAAGTAGGCACAAGAAATAGTAAGCCCCCTTCTCTATTCATAAAATTACTTGATGACACACAACAGGAAGGAAGATCTATCAATCCATAAATGGAATAAGGGACGTTGGAGGATCAATACAGCAGATGTAAGAAATAAAACTCCTTTGAGAAATCTAGAGATTGTCAACTAGTAGATAGTAGAGTCCACAGTGAGTTGGTATGTGAGAAGGCTTCTTTCTCTACAGATATGTGCAGTAAAGAATGACTTTTTAACCTACTTTACAAATTAACAGGTTGATGAGACTTCTACTAGATACAATGACTCTACAGAGAAAACCATGCCACACTGAGTGAAGTAGCGAAGGCACTTTGTCTCTCTTGTGTCTTATAAAAGCCTTACAAACAGCAGTGAGACAGACTTCATCACTCATTTGTCTTGGTTCTTCTTCCATGTCTGTCTCCTAAATCAAATTTTGTTTTTTCCCCATCAAGAGGCTGCTCCAAGCATAAGCAAAAAGCAGCAAGCTTAGACTCTAAAGTCAAGTTGCAGTATTTGAATTCATTTCTTAATTAGGTCAATATTAGGCAAGTGCATAATCCTTCTAAACCTATATAAGGAGGATATTACTACACAAGCATTGAATGGTTTTGAGGATTAAATGGATACATGTAAAAACTGAGAATTCCATTTGGCACATGCCAAGAGCTCTATTGCTACTGGCCGTATTTTCAACATCGTTACCTCAATCACGTGCGGACGAACAGATTTTCGTTCTTTTTTACTTCGACTGAGGTTTTTAATGAAGCTTTCGACTGCTTTTTCGGTCTGAGACAGCTGCTGAGGAGTAGCATTCACTGCACATCTGTTTAAGAAAGCACAGATCTATGTAAAATCATTCTTATGAACAATATTATTTTCCTAATTTATCACATTTTCATAAATAAACCCAAAATAAAAGTGAACCATGTCATTTTTATATAACAATGATCAAAAATGATAAAAAGGAAGCAGTAACCAAGTTTAGAAAGAAAACAGCTATCTGATCTCTCTAGAGTGCTTCCAAAAATGTGCACACATTTCAGTGCATGAGCATTAACAAATAGCAGTTTAGATGCAAAAACAGATTTTTCTTAGTCTAAATGCTATTCTCTTCTGAAGGGATAGCGACAACAAAGCTAGCAAGATCTGTCAGTAGCTAATTCATATTTAGATGAGCAGAACTTTAAAAACTTCAGGGTTATGAACCATTTGAAAACATAAACTGGCTGTTAAAACAGAAAATTATAAATAGCTAAAAGTTTACCCGGCTCTTGAAAATATAGTTTTACAACCTTCTTAAATTTTAGAGTCACAAATATTATCAAATGAAAATTATGCACAATACACTTAAAGAGTGTATTTTTCCCCTCTATCCTAGAACCTAAATTTACTTTGGTTAAATTAATGTTAGCTATGTGCTACAGGGTTAAGCACTGGACTGCTAATCACAAGGTTGGTGGTTCAAACTCACCAGACACTCCTCGGAAACCCTATACAGGGTTGCTATGAGTCAGAACTGACTCAAGGGCATAGAATAGCAGCATATTCTAGGCATTATACTAATGGCTTTACAAATACAGTTTTAAAATCCTTTCAATCGTCTGCAATGTAGAACTTTATAGAGAAGAATGAAAATGCAAATGGGTAAGTTACCCCCAAACAAAACAAAACAAAAAACAAACAAGAAATCCACTGCCATTTAGTCAATTGCAATTCACAGCGACTCTATACATGGTTTCTGAGACTGTAAATCTTTAAGAGAACAGACGGCCTCATTCTTCCAACTAGTGGGTTTGGACCAATGACTTTCTCCTCAGCAGACCAATGACTAGCAAGATATCTCTAAGTGTAAGCCTCGGAATTATTACCCACGCCTGTCTGACAGAAGAGCCTGTGCATTAACTACTATGCCCTACCACCTGTTACTCAGAGAACCCACCTTGTAGAATCTGACCATCATCTCTAAGAAGTGGGGACTCTTCACGTAGAACTACAAGTGATTCAAGGAAACACATTTCTATTGAGCTTTGTTGTTGTGATTAGGTGCCGTCAAGTCACTCATAGTGACCCTGTGTAGGGTTTAGAAGGAGCGATTGGTGGGTTTGAATGGACCTTGTGATTAATTGTCCTATGCCTACCCTATAAGAGTATAGTGGGGCTCTGTAGGATAAGCAGTGGACCATGAACCATACCATCAGTGGTTCGAGCTCATCAGTCACTCCACGACACAAAGGTAAGGCTTTCTGCTCTTGCACAGATTTACAGTCTCAGAAACCCTACACAGGGTGGCTATGAGTCGGAATTGACTCGGCAGCACTTTATAACAACAACGACAAATGAGTATCGCTGGCAGTAAGATGCTGAAAATACACTGGGAACTGTTTTTAAAAATTTCATTCACCCTAAAATAAAAACCTATGGGTCTAAGGTTCACAGTCTGACTGAGCTGCTAGACATTTCCCTTAAACCACTGTATGATTATCATTCTTCAAGAAATGTTTTGTTTTTATATTAATCTTGAACAAATTATCCTTTACTGAATTCACTGACTCCTCATTTACAGAACTTTGTTTTTGACTTTTAAAAGAAATACAATGTTGAATACTGCTACTTTGCTGTTCTAGGATTAAATTACCTTGAGTTCGCCCTTACCTCTCAAAATTTTTATTAAACTTAAAACATCCTTTTTACTCCCAAGGAAAACGATTTACAGAACTTTTGAAGTCCAGAATCAATTCTGTAACTAATACCAGCTTGTTGGATTTTTGTTGGGCATATAAGTTTATATAATTTTTTACTTCAAACAGAAAACTTCTATAAACTACACTTAATGAAATGTAATGAATCATACGACCTATGTTTAGACACAAACCATGAAATCGTACCTCATATTATCACCGTTTAAGACATGCTTCTGGATACGTGGGAGTTTTCTGAGGATTGGTTTGATGTCTGTCATTTCTGCAATTCTCTTCATTAACCTGACCTAAACAAAAGATCAAATACACAGTATTGGGCAAAGCAGAAACCAATGACACATCATCACTGTCAGAAACGAAACACCCTTGCTATCAGTACTATCCTTTGAGTATGTAATGTGTTCTGATTTGGGCCCTCCCTGCATGTATGCAGATGTCCAGCTTGGGCGAGGGAGAGGGTTGCAAGTGGTGGTGCTGTCTAGAAAGCAAAAGGTAAAATAAAAAGAATGAATCCATGTGAAATTCATGCAGTTAGAAAGTTAGCTTTTCTAGATGTAATTCAGAGAATATTTTAACAATTTTGGAATATGTGAACAAACCAGAATGAAAGTGTTCCCTCAAAACATTTTCACCTGATCCATTCCATTGAAAGTCTCCTGTATTTCTCCTGCAGGTGTGAGGGTTCTACTCGCTCTGATGGATGCATAGAGATGACCAGAATCTGAAATTCCATTGGACAGATCTTGTGCACTCATTTTAACTAACACTTTGAAGTGCTCTTCTTCTTCAAAGCACGGGCTATGGACAATGGAAATACATAATAAAATCCTGGAGCAATCCATCCATTATTCCATCTTTATTATAAAGGGAAAAAATACATATATGTATGTTTATGCCTCCTTACTAATATAGAAACCTTATTAAGTATAAATTTCCAGATTATTTAAATATCCTCAGACATTTCCTAAGAATCCATAGAAGTCACAAATAAAATTAGGTTAGACAATCAACCGCCAATGATTGAATAAAATCTTATACTTTTAGAATACTTCAGACTTAGATTCCTGACATATCCCAAGAATGAACAAACTTTGCATTTAATGTTACTTGTTAAAGATTTCACTCCACAAATGCATCATGTCAGGTAGGTTTCGATCCAGGCAGAGAGATGAAAAAAGCACACCCTATATCATGAAAGGAAAAAACAAAAGAAATATAAAAGAAAACATTAATTTAAAGAGAAGACAAAAGACACTGGAGAAACAAATGTCTGAGTAAACTGATCTAGAGAGACAGCATTACCTGCTCATAGGTATCTAGATGGGAATCGTCAGGGAGCACACGGGGAGAAACAGTCATTCCTCCTGTTTTCAGCTGTATTTGCTGAGCTTGCTCTCGATAGTTAAGAATGCCACAGCCCAGTCTATCGATTGCAAAGAAATAGTATCTGGATTAGCAAGGTAATCCTTGCCAGGTCATTAAAAAAAAACATACATTTTGAATTCCAAGTCGCTTAATGAATTCAACAACCTCTTTTTCGTTTCACTTCCAAAGTTATAAAAACACAAGTACATTTTTATATTAATCCTCAAAATCTGTGAATCCCACGTAGAACTCTACTAGAAACAGTCAGTGTCTAGCTTTAAAAATAAAATATCAAAATAAGCTTAGGTATTTTATGAGCGTTCAGTGTTCCCGCCTTTACTTTTTTCTTTCAAACTGATTTTATTTGCTCAGATAGCTGGTCATTTTGGAAGGGAAAAATCCAAAGAATAAGCCTTAGAGTTTTTAAGAAAACCTGACCACCCTCTTTGTTGATGATACTTTAGGAGAAACATTCCAAGCAATGCTTCTAGTACAAAAAAAACCAAAAAACAACAACTTGAATCAAGACCACACGGGTGCGGCTAAACTGCTATAACCAAAAAAGGACAAGCAGAGCGAGCTATGCGGGGCGGGGGAAGCAGAACTTTTCAAAGATCAAAGACATTCTTCATCTGGTCACATATGCAGCCAGAAGATCCCACCTTTATGGAGCTCTCTGCAATTTGCAAACACTTTTATTTCCACAGTACAAAGACTCCAACTACATTGGACAACAGGCCCTACACAATTTGCTGTAATTCTTTGCCCTCCCTTTATCTCCCTGGATCACAAGAGAAGAAAGCCTACAGCTACAATGCTTGCCAGTTTGGATTGCTCCCCTGGGCCAGCTAGAATGCAGCAGAAGAAAAGGGTTACACAGCAGTGTGTGTACTTGGGCATGTATTTTCAAATATGAGGGGCCTTCAAAACTTTTGTGGTAAATGGAATTTTTTCACAAACTTTGTAAAGTCACTTTGTATAGTCACGTTGCTGTGGTTAAGAGTCATCGAGTCAGTTCCGACTCACAGACACCCAGTGTAACGTTTCGGAGGCTTTTTAACGTGCAGCAGTAGGTAGGTTTGAACCACAGGCCTTGTGGTTTGAAGTCCAGTGCTTATCCTATGTAGCTACTGTGCTATACAGGATAAGCCTGTACATCCACAGATATCTATTTTAATCCAAAATTAGCAGTAATTACAAATTTACCTTAGCTGGGAAGCACACTAAGGGAAAAGTGTATATAAATGGTATCTCAAGCTAAAACACAGGTTGACATTTTAATTATATTTTTATTAAAAACTATCATTTAAATTCTTAAGAAAATAGTCATTGAGCTATATGTTATAGATATATTGCAGTATTCTCCAGATTTAAAAGTATTTTACTGCAATATAGCAAGAAAATAAGATTTTCATAAAATAAAATCTAAACACACATATTATAGGCTTTACTTCTACACTGTAACACTCAAGTTTTGAAAAACAAGATGTGATTGACTGAAATGATTACTATCAATGTAATATACACACAGAAAACATAAAAATGTATGTCAGATTATGGACAGATTTGTATCATCTTCCCAAAATTCAGACTCTTACTTGGTAAGGACGCTGCAGAAGAGAGGCACATAGGGTTTTAACTCTTCAGGAAGTGTATTCAAACTAGAAAAAGCTCTGAAATATACCACACCATTGGTTGGTTGGGCACAGTACTGAACAGGGATATCTCCAGCTAAAAACAAAAAGAATAATTTTTTTATTACCGGTAAAATGTAATTATTTTTAATATTTTTAAATTATGCTACTGCTTTAAAAACGTACATGTATAAAAGAAATGTTATTCATTTGTTATATGTAAAGTATACTTTCATAAAGCTTAAATGGAGTTCTATACGACAAACGAATTCAACAACCAAAGCCTTCAAAAGCTTCTTTTTCGTTTTCAAAGAAATGAAAAAAAGCACCAACCAATTTAAGAATTCTACCAACTTCAAGAAGCTCTGGTGTAGCGTTGTGGTTACGAATCGGGCTGCTAACCTCAAGGTCTGCAGTTCGAAACTACCAGCCATTCCATGGGAGACAGATGAGGCTTTCCGTTCCCGTAAAGATTTTCAGCCTTGGAAACTCTGTGCAGGGTCACTATGAGTCAGAACCGACTCCATGGTACTTAACAACGTAACAGCAACAACGTCTTCAAAGAGCTCTGGTAGTGCAGTGGTTACGAGCCACGCTACTAACCTCAAGGTCAGCAGTTCAAAACCACCAGTTGGTTCGCGGGAGAAAGATGAGTCTTTCTTCTCCCATAAAGATTTATAGTTTCAGAAATCCTATACAGGGTCACTAAGAGTTGGAAGCAACACCATGGCACACTATACTTTGTTATGGTAAAAAGGAAGAATTCTTGAATACTAAAATAATCCCTAATTTTCAAAGAATTAGAACAGAAGAATAAAGCACTATTCTTCTGGCTTTATAACTGTACTAGTATTCAGGCTGGTCCTTATCCATCTGTACACAAATTCTTCTCTTTTTCAGCATGGATGCCTAATTATAGGCTATTACTACAACAATTTCATGTGGGTTAATACGGTGAACTGCAAAGTTGGTTTGAATTGCAATGTCAGTGGTTCAAGCTTACCAGTCACTCCTCAGAGAGTGGTCACTATGGGTCGCAACCAACTCAACGGAATTTAAAAACAACAACAAATGATACTCATGTTCTCTAACAAGTCCTGCCCATGCCTATAGGTCCCATACTTCTTCAATAAAAAGTCCCCTGACCATCCACTTCACATATTTGGCATATCCTGCATGGCTATTCATATCCCATGTCTTCAAAGATGCTTCTAAATCTTTTAAGAATACATTTTTGATGTCCCTAGCATAATACCCTCAACCAGAAGAGGTACAAAAGCATTTATTAATGATTTTATGAACATCATCTATAAATAAAAACTACAGGGAAATTAAAAACAAGTGGAACACTGCACTTCAAGAAGGTTAGTCTAGAAGAATACATTTCATTTACGAGCATGCACAGATGTACTTGAAATCTGGTGTGGCACTGTAGGTAAGCACTGGACTACTAACCGCATGGTTGTTGGTTCAAACCCACCAGCTGCTCCTAAGAAACTCTATACAGGGTTTCTATGAGTCGGAAACAACACGACAGCCCTTAACAACAACACATATACAAATAAACTAATGTGGTAAACATAGCAATGTTCTTGTTTTTAAAAAAGATCCCAGTGTTGCTTCACAACAAAAACAAAGTTATGTTCAAATGGAGTCTAGAATCCTAGCATACATGGATTTTAAGTTAAAGTATAATATTGTAGTAAGTCTTTCCTCAAAGTAGATCAGTAAAGTAAATCAATATTCACTTGTAAGTTGAATGTTAACATCTAGCTGAGTAACACTATTCAAGAGAGCTATGTATTTCATATGCTACCAACCAGAATCTAAAGTAAAACTGAGTACCTTTGAGATCAAAACCAGTGGCAGAATACAGAATGACACACTAAGATAAGGTATGAGAATGTTATTAACCTGGGACAACCTTTCCAATCTCCATAACTCATCAATACCTAGAAGATATTCTCACACTTAACAACTGAGTGGAAGAGTTAATTTGGGTCTATATCTCAAACCATACCTTTAAAATACTGCTGTAAACCAAACTAGAAACCAAACCACTGCCATGGAATCAATACCAAGTCACAGTGACCCTAGAGGACAGACTGGAATTACTAGTACCTTAGGGATTTCTTTCAAGACTATAAATCATACAGCCTCATTGTCCTCCACTGGAGCAGCTGGTAGGAATGAAGAGCTAACTTTACAGTTAACAGAACAACACTTAACTCACAGTGCCATCAGCACTCCTTAACAGAACAACACTTCACTCACAGTGCCATCAGCACTCCTTAACAGAACAACAGTTAACTCACAGTGCTATCAGCACTCCTTAACAGAACAGTTAACTCACAGTGCCATCAGCACTCCTTAACAGAACAACAGTTAACTCACAGTGCCATCAGCACTCCTTAAC